TCGTACACTTGTATCATCGATACGTCGCTCGTAATCCACTAACAGTTCGCGAAGTTTTGACACCTTAAAAATATCCACTTCATGAATTCAGCTTGAACTGAACTTCTATATATTTCAAACTTTTATTCTTCTCTCAAAACCACTTCTAAATCCATCCAATCCATCTGAAATCCCAGCACTGTTGCTCAAATGACTACTGACCTAACCAACCTCAACATAAAGCTGGTTCAATGCCCAATCCTTGTTCACGATACCATCGATTTGTGAAATAAACAAGCAAATAAATAACCTCAGCATCATTGTTTTGACTCGAATACAACGTCCTCAGTCGTTCGCTTTGTCGCAACGACTCATCCTTCTTCATCAGCAGCTGCTCCAACTCCAATTCACGATTCTGAAATCTCCCATCTTCATTTGATAACTGATTCCTTTCTCTACTGCTCTTTTGCAGAACTGGTTTTCCATTCCGAAACCTTCCAGAACTAGACTATCGATGAGAATTTGCCAATCAAAGTCTATGAATTTTGCACGATGCACATCTACGGAGGAAACCCACTGCCATCTACGAGTAAAACAGATCTGGAACTAACCTTGAGCAATTGAATTTTCCGTTCGAACGCCATAACCAGTTGTGATAGATGTGGGTCCTTGAACTGAAATTGAAACAACGCGATGAAAATGCTCACTCAGAACGTGACACCAGCAAAAACTCTAGTAACCGATCGCATTTAAATCCGCCTCGACAGCTGTTTTGTGATTGAAATATTCTTCAAACGACGANCAAACGACGAACAAAGTTTTAGAATCGGAAACAAAACTCAAAAACAGAGACAAACGTCTGCTTACATCGATTCCACGTTTCATTTTCTCCAGTAGCTCATCCAGTTGTTTCGTCGAATCACCATTCGCCAACGGCATATCCAGATTCGGTGTTGTACGGCCACCATTCGGTATCACGGAAACTGCGGCTCCTAAGCCATCAACACCGACGACACCGTCAAGGCGTTGCTCCGAAACACTCCTTCAAATGATTATAACATGACTTTAAGGATCGGATGATGTGCCCGAATCGGATCTTCTCAAAAATTTCACTCATGATACCTGGATAAAGACATTGCGGAATTCCTTCTTGAGATTGACGCAGGTCCACCGCCTGCTCGACTACCACCAGCAGCAGCAGCAGCTGCAGTCGTGAAACAATTCGCCACCAGATCAGCAAGCCTTAAAAAAGATCCATGATCGAAGATTCCCTTAACAGATCGATGCAGCTGAAGATATTGCNCCAGATCAGCAAGCCTTAAAAAAGATCCATGATCGAAGATTCCCTTAACAGATCGATGCAGCTGAAGATGTTGCAGGATATGTATCCGAAGACCGGCACTTCATAGCCATTTTGCTTAATCCGTGCTTCTTGGATTTTCATACCCAGTTTTGTTACATTGATTCACTGTATTACACTCGTCAGTGCTCTTTTAACTGAGAGCTGATCCTTTTTAAGCATCAATTCAATGGATTTTCGAGATTTCCATAGCGATTTCTAGAGCATCAATAAATTTTATCTCAGCAATTCACTCAACAGAGTTCAGTTGAAACATTTTCGCTGTTGGCGGATAATTTCACAAAATTATCAATCCATTGATCAAAAGATTATTCATTTTTGATGAATATTATTTATTCCTGACCATTTCGTTGGGAATTCCTGTACTTGTGCACAATGTGTGTAGAGAAGGAGGGCATCGTAGGTTAGCTCGTGATTACCGAACGCTATTGCATAGGCAACAAACGGTACAAG